TGCCGGGGACCTGAACTCCAGGGCAGCTATCTGATCGTTTTCCTAAAGAGAAGGGGGAGTCTGTTTTCTCAAGAGACTGGCATGGCCTTCAACCTGCTGGACGAGGGGAGCAAGGGGCGGAGAGCCGGCAGAGCACTGGCTGCACCGCAGCACAGCTTCCTCTGGGCTGGGGTGCTGAGGCCGGACAGCCCCATGTGGCCGGCCTATACCCCTGGACAGCATGCTCCCTGGTGCCCTGGGCCCATTTAACAAGCCATCAGCAGTGGAGCGGACAAGCCAGGAGCCAGAAGGCGGTGCCGCTTGAGACTTCAAAGCTGGCCACCACTCCTGGTGGCGTCTGCGTGTTTACACTTGGTTGGGCTGATGCCGCAGGCTCCTTGTGCCCAGCCCCGCGGCCTTCCCTGTCCGGCGCCAGTGGGTGCCAGCTCCAGGAAGGCTGGCACGCCTGGCCTGACCCCACCACAGGGGAGAAATGGGTGCCAGCTCTTTGTCGTCACCCCACTGGGATCCCAGGCATCTGCACTGGGAAAGTCCAGGCAAAGGTGAGGAGAGCCACTGCTTAGCAGGGGCATACTCTGTGCCAGCTGCAGCACTTGGCATTTTACACACACTCCCCTCCTTCGTCACCTCAGGGCATGGCAAAGGGGTGTGGGTCCCATTTTTCCAGCAAGAAATGGCCTTACCCAAAATGCATGCCAATTTACTGCTTACCAATTTCCAAGCAGAAAATATATCAAAGAATGAATGAGTGAACATACACACTCTATTTCCATCCATGTCCATCTCTATGTAAATTCTTTATTTCCAATTTCAGTGGTTCATGATTTTTACATTCCAAAATCTTTTAGGGTTTTACTCTGTGGTCACAGAATATAGACTCCACAAGCAGAGAGAGGGGTTTGGGCTTTTGCATCACTATTAGATCCCCAGCCCCGAAAACAGTGCATAGTAGGTGTTCTACAACTATTTTTCAAATGACTATTGTTGAACGTTCAGTTTGTACAAATGTTCTCCAGACACAGAAAAAAGTGTGTACTCTCTATTCAAGGAATATAAGGGCTTCTGTGAGTTGAGTTAGAAAACAAGCATGGTGATCATATCAAGCCTCTCTGTCCTTATCTGTCGTGTAGTGACCTGTTTGATTCTGAATGAAGCATTTTAAAGTGCCCCAATATAATTATCATTCTGTTTTTTCTCAAGTTCTCCTTGCATTTCTAAAAGGTTTTGTTTTTATGTTTGGTGATTACAACTTTGCAGCCATGCTTTTCACCATTCCACAATGTCCCTCTTTATCTTTGTTTTTTAAACTTAAATTTTGCCTTGGCTGAAGTTATTACTGCTTTCTTTTTGTTCACAGATACGTGACATTTGTTTGTCCATCTTTTTACTCTTGACCTTTGCTTATCATTTTAAGTGTGTTTCTTTGAAACAGCATATAGTGAGATTTTGTGTTTTACTCCAATCTATCTATCTCATTTAAACAGGAGAATTTGACCGTTCACATTTAGTGTAATAACTACTACTTAATTTTGTTCCTTCTGTTTGCATTATGGAAGGACAATTTTTTGGATTAATATATTTTTATTTAGGTAAATTGGTTATAAATTTTAGGAGCACAGTTTTGTAACTCAACATCTGGATATGCTACCTCATGCTCCCACCTAAAGTCGTTTCCTTCCATCATCATAAACTTGACCCTCTTTACCCATCTCACCCATCCCCCAACCCCTAACAATGTCATTTTTCTTATTTTTGTTGGTTGATTCAATGCCAGCTTTTCCTTTATAAATGTGAAAGTTCTACTACATTTTCCCACTCCATTTAGTTTCATTCCCTTTCTCTGTGTTCACAATCTTATACAGATCTCTGTATTTTTACTTAAAAACCCCTAATGACTTCCCTCACCACCATATGCTCGCATTCTCTTACCAAACCCTTTCCCTGGAAAGATCAGCCCTGTAGGACATCTCCCCTACCCCCTCCCAGATGAAGCCTCTAATGGCTCTACCTGTCAGAGCTCCCTCCCCAGGACCTGAACCTGTGCAGTACACTGGGTTGAGTCTTTTTAGCTGTAAATGACGATTAGACTCTTCCCTGAAAGATGCTCATTCAATTTCAAGAGTCCTATTTCCCACTTAGATCTGAGTGGACAAACCCTAGCTAGTGGGCCAAATTCTACCCATTGCCTGTTTCTGTATGGCCTGCAATCAAAGAATAGTTTATACACTTTCCAATAAATTTAAAAACTTCAAAGAAGATGTTATCTCATGATACATGAAAACTATAAGTGAATCACATTTGTGTGTCCATGAATAAAGTTTTATTGGTACATGGCCACACCCATTCATCTCTGTTGTGTCTGTGGCTGCTTCAGCCCCACAGCGGCAGAGGTGAGCAGCTCCCAAGGGAGCATCTGCGCATGCAGAGCTCCCCAGCCTCTCACCCAACCACGTATTTTCCTTCTTTATTTTTTTAAATGTCAGTGCACACCCATTACATAAATGAAAGTAAAAGTGTGGTCTTCAAATGTTGTGCTTTTAAGGCGTAGGGGGTTATTTTATCAAATTACAAGGCAAAATGTTGTGTTTGTCATTGGACCGGGCATACACTGACGTTACAATGTCCCAGCTTAGGGGAAAAACAGTCGCTCTTGACACTGGTGGGTCATCACATCTGCGAGGGAGCTGACCGCCCAGCGGTATTCTGTGGTGCAGGCGAATGAAGCAGAGTCAGGAAGTAAAGAAAAATGGGGAACCAAATGCCTGTTTACCAAGGTGGTAAAAACCCTACCCAGGAGACTGGATTTTTTCCTGGAAACTTGTTTGACTGGAGGCCTGCCCAGGAAGCTGGGAGGCAGCTGTGATGTGTCCAGGAATTTTTGGAGGCGGCCAAAACAGGAAAGATCAGCACTGGGCAGTCCCTGTCCTGGACAAGCACAACTGTGGGCCAGCCTGACCCTTAGCCTCCTCCCCAAACATGGCACATCCACCAATCTTGGGGGTGGGGTTTTCCTGGCAGGGGCCAAGGGAGACTGGTCCCTGCGCTTCAGAAAGAGAGGATGAAATCCCGGGGGGAAGAGTAGGATACTATGCTGGCCCCAAGCTCGAGGATTTCTTAGTATCAGAATAGACACAAAGGGCTTGAAAATTAATAATAAATTATCATTCAGCAAGAGTAGGAGCCAAGCCCTGATGGCAGAGCCTCACAGGCACTCACCCAGCTTGATTTATGGCCCCTGTGGAGCAGTCCTGTTAAATTCCCCCGGACAGCAGTCTTACGTGCCGCCCACATATATGAACGAGGAGGTGGTGAGGCTGGGCACTTGCCCCGTCTGCCACGTGGTCTGGGGAGGCCAACCAAACTGAGCTGAATGTCTCTGGGCACCCTCGTGCTGCTCAAAGCAAACAGGACATCTCTGGGGGCGAGCCCACCCTACTACTCGGAGTGGCTCTGGGAACTCTCCTCCCTGTGGCGCCAGAGGCCAGAGTCAGCACTTACAAAGGAAGTCATATGTTACTGGGGCTCTTTCAACACCACCCTAGAGGTCAAGACTCTGTGCCCTTTTAATGACTGAGGATACTGAGCTAAAACGGCCATCCACAGCATACAGCTGCTCCAGGGCCCAGGCAAGGATTGAGCCTCATCCATCTGATCCCCAAGTTCAATGTCTCATCAACCTCAGCGGAAGGTAAGTCCCACCAAGGAGACCCCGGCTTCTGAAAAGATGTCACTCTGATCTCACTGGGTAAGAATCCACCCTCAACATTTAAAGTACCTTAAAGATTAAAAAATCTTATTACACATAGATACACAGCTAACTAGCTATAGATACATATGAATGCACAGATTTTGAAACTAAAATCTTAAAACCAAAAGGAATCTTAGACACCCTTAATCATAAAATTCAGGTCTAAATAGGAACTGTGACTGTGTCACAAAAACTATGTATATTAAAAGGGTTGGTGAGAAAGAATTTGCCTGACCTGGGGGACAGATGAGTGTGCAAAGGTCAGTCAGTTCCGTGTTCAAATCCGCCTTGACCAGCCTGTGACCCTGGGGGCAAGCCCCTCTCATCTCCTGAACTGGCTTCCCGTGGGCTGCCGTCGGGGAGGGCCCCCGTGGCCTGGGTTCACAGCAGGAAGAAAACGGGTTTTCACTTTGTAACTGCCATTGTTTATTAATTTTACTTTTTATTAACTGTTTATTAATTTTACAAACTATATTGTTATATAATATGTATTTTACCAAAAAAATACGTTCAGGAGAAAGTGATATATTTAAAAAAAAAAATTAAGTACACAGGAAAATTAACTCTCTCCCCCTTGGGTTGTAGGTGTGAGCTAGTGAGGGCACATAGCAGGTCTGAACAGACGGGGGGCGGGGTGCAGGTAGCAGGAGGCAGGCTCCTTCCTGATCCTCCCAAGGGGAGCCGGTGGCTTGGAGACCCCGACATGGTCATGGGTCACCCTGGCAGCACGTGTACTGGCTGCTCACAAAGCTGAGCTCCCCATCCTCAAAGGAGGTGACTGCTGCCCCACTGACCTGCCAGTGTGGGGGCAACTGGAACCACAAACACACAAGCGGGGCGATACTCCATGACAGACATCACCACAGAATCATTGTACACCATGATACTTCTAATAAATCAAGCTAGAAAAACCAGTGACCAGAACCTAATCATCTACAATCAACCTTCATCTACAATCAGGACCTTAACACCTGCCCCTGAGCAGCCCCCCCAGCTGGCCCTCAATGCCTTCCAGGTCAGGGAGCTCAGGCATGGTCACTATTATGCAGATGAGAGCACTGAAGTTCCCAGAGGGACTGTGCTCCGCCCAGCAAACTGCAGGGGTGGGTGGGACCCAGCGCTGGGGTCAGCGGAGGCAGCCAGGCAGGGGACCCAGCTGAGGGTGAGGTCTGAGCTCTTCCAGTTGAGAATCCAGAGGGGCTCCTGCTCCCATCACAGGCCCGAAGGGCGAGGGTGGGGATGGGCTACTTACCCGCTCCACGAGGCCGTGCTTGTGCTTCAGCTTATACACCTTCAGCCTGGGCAGGAAGCTCTCGGTGTAGCTCTTATCCTCCAGCCCGTGCAGCAGGACGCCGTGGAAGGCCAGCCGGCATGAGTTGGCATGAATGTCTGCATCAAGCCTGGAGCCGATCACCAGGCACAGCCGAGGGCAGGTGACCGGCTTCTCAAACTCCACTAGGGCCCACTGCTGCCGGGGGCAGCGGCCTTCTGTGGCCTGGCCCTCCTTCTTGTCAGCCTCGCCACTCTCTGCCGCTGCTGGTGCCTCCTCTCTGGAGAGGTACTGCTCCTGGAAGAGGTATTCTCGGGAGAAGTCGAAGGAGTCCAGCACAGGCTCCCGGTCAAAGCTGTCAGGGGCGGGGCTGAAAAACATCAGCCGGCCCATAACGGTCTCATGGCCCACAGTGATGTGGAACTTGGCCTTGGTCAGTAGGGGCCCCCGGAAATATGAGATCTTCTCCACGGAGATGAGGGCTGCATGGATAGTGTGCAGGGACTCAGGGGTACACACCAGACCGCGCTCCAGCAGCTTGGGGTCGAACTGGGTGACACAGATGCCTAGTCGGTCTCCCTGCGTGGCTGAAGTGACGGGCATGTGGAACATCTGGATAGATTTCACCTTCTTCACCACCTGGGCAGGAGCAAGAGAGAGAGCCCATGAGACCAACCAGTCTTGAGGTTGGGGGCAGGGATGCCAGTTGGAGAAATCCTTGTCCCAGGGCTGCCTGGTGCACAGAGCATGCCAGCAAGGGGGCCCTGGGGCCACATTCCCCTGAGACCTAGCAGGCATGGCCCTGCAAATGCCCCAGGGCACTCTCACCCAGGATGCAGGTGGTGATCACAGCAGCCAAATACTGCACCACCTAGTTCCCCCCATCCTTCCAGTCTTGATTTCACCCCAGGCTCCATTCTAGCAATTCTAGCACTTTCTTGCCTTGAGCCCTCAGTTTCAGCTTGCTTCCCAGGCAGAAAGGCCTCCCTAGTTCCTTATCCTGCCAAGCTCCATGCCTGACTGCCCCTGAGAGCCCAGGCTAAACACGACTGCTCTGGGAAGTGTGTCCAGCACCCAGAGGGCAAGACTGTCCTCTCTCCTGGTTGCTCCGCCAGCCGCTCGGAATCTCACAGCCTGCGGTCTCGCCACTCCCTGCCCATTCCAAGCCACCTGCTTGCGGTCGCCTCTCGGACTGGCCACCCATCCCACACAGTGCCCGTGGCCTGCTGTCCGCCAGCACGGTTCAAGGAGTAGTAGAAAAAGCTCTGTTCTCAAGGAGTTAATATCCAGAAACAACAACAAAATTATAAATATATAAAATACATAGTAAAATATATAAAATAAATTAATATATAAAATAATATATAAATTTTTATGTATTATGAAGATATATGTAACTACTCTAGTTATGTAACACGTATATTATGTATACCATGATACAGAGAAAACACACAGGATGACATGGCAGAGAAGCTGGGGTGGGAGAAGGCCTGGCTTTGTAGGGCCGTGCTCAGGGAGCCTCTACACAGACCATGTCTGAGCTAAGACCTGGTCATAAAAAGTTGTGTAAAGGTCCTGAGAAAGATGGTAAACCAGGGAGGGAAGTGATGAGTGAAGGCCCACCCCGAAAGAGGCTTGATGAGTCTGGGAAAGAAAGAAAGAAGCAGAAAGTCATCCAGGAATTTAGGCAAAGGAGGGACCTGATCTAATCTCCTTCTAAAGGATCATACCAGCTACTACATGGGCAGATTTCTTCACCCACAGTTTATATATCAAGAACATAGAAAGGGCTCTAAGAAGCATTTGTGAAATGAACAAGCATTCCCAAGATCCACCGTCAGGCAGAAGAGATGAAGTCATGCTCATTGGCGTGTTCAGAAATCTCGCCATCAAAAATGGTTGAACTAAAGATAATTTCACCTTTAGGCCTCGAGCATCCCTGCCTGCAGAGTGGGGGTGCAGGGCACTCGCCTCCTCCCTGGATGAAGAGAGCGCTGGCATTGGGCGCAGGGCCCAGGGCCCTTCCTGGAGAGTCATAATACTTGAGTGTTTGTTTAAAGATCATTAACTACCTAACCGAGAGGTCAGGGGGCAGAGAAAGTGAGAAGCACAGTGTCAAAAGCCACAGCCAAGATCAATCAAAAAGAAACATAAAACATTCTGCAACGGTCTGTAAGGTAACAGGAAACTAAGATGTCCAGGAATGCCTCTTAGAGTAACAGAATATCCCTTACCCTCATGTGTCCCGGTGAGGCAAGACCCACACTGTGCTCTGCTCCCCAGACCCCGGCCCCGCCGCCCGTCTCCCCTCGGGCCAGCGTTCTAACACACATCCCATGCAGCCACCGCGCGGGCGCCTGTCTTCCACACCACGACTTTCAAGCCTTTGGTCATGGCTGTCGAGGACAGGAAGAGTCTATGGTCAATTACAATTCTATGAGAATCAATCCCTCTGGACAAAAAAAAAAAAGCTGCTGGTGGGGGAGTGGCCCCTCTGCTTGCCTGGCTCCTGGAGACCCTGGCCAGGGCCTCCCGCAGGAGCCCCCGCACACTACTCCTTGTGCCCCACGTCCCAGTCCTTAAAGCACAGCCAGTGGAACATGAACAATTCCTCACAGACTGTGGTTCTGTGTGTCTCTGACTTTGCCCGTGGGGCTCCTTCTCCTCGGGACGCCTTCCCCTGCAAAGTTCCCCATCGGCCCCAAGCCCTGGCTCCATGGCACCTCCTGGAAGGGCCTCCCTGCCCACTCGCCACAGGCCTGGTTCCTCCCCTTGGGTTACTCTGCATTTGCTGACTCCAGCCACAACAGAATAAGCACCCACGGCCACTCACCCCCCCGAGAACTGAAATGGCACCAACAACCGTCCTCCTCCCGCTCCTCCACGCCCGGCTCCTGCGCCCCCACCCCCGGCCGGAGGTGGCCGCTCTCTGGGCTCGGCTCTCGCGCCGGAGCGAGAGACAGCCGGGAGACAACAGCCTCCCTGGGAGGAGGGCGGCCCGGCCGTGCTCCCCGACAGCCCCCACTCCTTTCCATCAAGCCCGACCCACGCAGGCTTTATTCAAGGCATGTTCCCTTTTCAACGGGGCTCATGTTCTCAGGACAGAAATAATAAAGAATGCCTTAAGAGGGCACCGTGAAGAGCAGAAAGACAAATAACTGTGCAAATCAAGATTTTAGGGGCCCAGACAGGAAATTGTGAAACAGATAAAGATGGGGACAGGGCGGCAAGGCACTGCCGCGGGCCCTCGGAGTGCTCGCCGACAGCGTCGCCACCGAGGGCGGAGGCCGCCCACACTCTACGGAGATACGCTGCAGGAATGCAGAGCTCCAAAACGTGCCGACGCAGATAACTTTACCAACGTGAGATGGGGAAATGGGGTTTCCTTGCACTCATTTTATTTTCCAGCCAGCTTTGGGAGACCGTCCAGGTACTCGACAGCTCGCTCGCCTGTGCTGACGGCCATCTGAGGGGCTGAGACGCCGGATTCGCATCCTCTCAACATGGACAGATCAAGTTTCTCCCATTCCAGGCCCAGGCCCGTGTTGGCTTAGTCAGGGGAGACCCTGACTGATGTATCAACTTAGAACCGCAGAATCACAAAACTAGGGGGTGGCGCTGAGAGACAGAATGACCGGGACACCAAATTCATCCTGGGCAGCTAGGGAGGGCTCTGCTGAGGAGGGGGCGCCAAGGCTGAGACCAGCTGGATGAGACGGGACCACCCACGGGCTCCAGGCAGAGGGGAGAGCAGAGGAGGCCCGCGGCCCCGCCGGAGACACAAGAGGGCCTGAGGGGCTGGCAGGGCAGGCTGGCCGGCCAGAGGAGTGGCTTTGGCCTGGAGACACTGGGCGGTCGCCTCCACCATGTGAGGGACAACAGAAAGCCCCCGAAGAAGAGGTGGTCGGGCTGAGCAGAGGAAGGACACCCTCTCATGCGTGCGTCTAGAAGATCTTTGGGTTCACAGCATGGAGACGGGATGGGGGCGGGGAGAGGGGAGATTGGGGGGGAGGGTGGTGGGAAATGGAGAGACTGGACGTGGGGTGAGGGGAGCCAGCACCTACAGGAGAACCCCCAGGTTTCCTGGGTGAGGGCCGCGTGGGGCTAAGACGGCAAAGGGGCAGCTGGGAGCTCTGGGCACAGGCGTCTGCCAGGGGTATCTGGGAGCCGGACCTCTTTGCGCTGTGCTCCCATCCTGGATGTCCGCTGGGCAGCCCTGGCTGACGACATCCCAAACCTGTCCCCTTTAGTCTCGTCACTGTGGGAAACGGCAAGTCCACAGTTCCAGGCGCTCGGTGGAGACCCCGGGTTCTCTCACACCCACGCCGCGCCTCAGGAGGTCTAGAGGCTTTACCTTCAAGACGGGTCCAGACCCAGGCCATCCCCTGCCTCCACTGCCGGCCCTGGCTCCAGGCCCACCGGCTTTTTTACAGGATATTAGTTTCGTCTCCGAACGGCTTCCCACCTCGCTCCATGAAAGTGAACGCCCCAACTCCTACCACAAGGACCCCAAGCCTGGACCCTAGTATTTCTCTGACTTCTCTGCTATGATTTCCACCCCGCCCCCCCACCTCTTCAGCCACACGAGCCACTGGCTTCTCGCTCCCGAAACACGCTCCTACCTCAGGGCTTTGCATTTGCCATGACTAGGATACCCCCCAGATACGCAGACCTGTTTTCCTCACTCCCTTCATGTTTCTGCCCAAACAGCTCTTTACCACCCCTCCCCACCCCCACGCCCCATCCTTCTGTCTTCTTCCCCTTCTTGCACAGCGATAACCGTGCCCTCCCCCCCCCACCCACACACTGGAGTGTAACCTCCACAGAAACAAGGGGTCTGCGGTCTGCTCTTATTTTTGTGCCTAGCACGGTCCTGACACTGAGGAAACCTCAACACGCACGTGTGGAATGACAGGTGGAGCCACGGCGGCGTGACACTGCCCCTGCCTCTGGGGCTCCAGTCTGGCCCTGGGGCCTACAGATCCACAAAGGCCCGTGGAGATACACCCCTACACAGGCTGTGGGAGCAGGACTGGCCCCAGGCCAGCTGGGCAGTTAGAGGTTCTGAACAATCCCCAGGGTAAGCAGGGCCGAGGGCCGCAGGTCCTCGGAGGGTGCAGTTAGAATGGCGGCAGAGAAGACTGGGTGGCAGAGCAGGTGGGTGCTGCTGCTGGGCACCAAATGGGTGGGACAGGAAGGCCCTATGCTTGGGACCACCAGGGAGGCTGTCCCTGGGTTCAGTCCCGGGGTGGGGAGGGCTGGCTGCTGCAGCGTGTCTTCCTCCTGTCGGCCCAGCTCTCTGCACCATGTCCTTCAGAAGGGAGGCAGGGACCCGGGGCGGGAGGAGGAAGGAGTACATCAAGCCAGCAAACAATTTTTAAAACTCAAGTTCGTGCTTGCTAAGCAGTTTGGTCCTTTCTGATTAACAAAGAAGGTTTACCACCATCTGGGACAGTTATTCTTCATAAAAATCCTACAAGGCAGGTCAGTATTTTTGTATTCAATTTTATGGATGAAGAAACAGAGGTTTTTGATGTCTGCAAGGTCACAAAGCAAATAGGCTGAGACTTGGGACAATCACTGCGGGGACGGCAGGCAGGTCCGACATTCCACGGCCTGGTCTCCTGACCAGCTGAGCA